CTTGAAAACAGGGACAACTTGACTTTCCCTTCTATATTTATAGTTCTTTTGTTTCTGTCTCTTGCTTTAGTACTCTGAGGACTCCAAGCAGCTTGTTGAAGAAAAGTGATAATAATAGATCCTACTTCATTCAGTCAGAATGTTTATAATTTAAAAGACCATAACAAATATTTCAAAATGTTGAAAAAACTACAGGAGGTATACAACTTTGGAGGCTACTTTGCCATATTCTTATTTTAAATGAAAGGTTTAAAACAAATCAGAGAAACAAATAAAAAAAAACACGGCTTTGCACACAGTAGGAAATGCTTTACCAGTAAGGTACATTTCCATCTGGTTTCCATTCTCTTAAGAATTTTTTTCAAAAGTGTGTGTATGTGTGTGTCTTTGTCTGTCTGTATGAGTATATGTCATGTGTTTACAGATCCTGTGGTGGAGGCCAGAAGAGGGCATCATCTCCTGGAGCTGGAGTTACAGGTGGTTGTGAGCTACCTGATGTAGGTGCTAGGAACTGAACTTGGGTCCTCTGGAAGAGCCACAAACATTCTTAACCACTGAGCCATCTCTTCAGCCCCAAATTTATTATTTTCTCAAAAGATTAAACATGTATATATCAGATGACTCATTCATTTCACTCCTAGCTATCACTCCAAGAGCACTGAAAAGATATGCCCACAGAAAGACTTGAATATTAATGGAAGTATTAATCATAATAGCCAAAAAGCTCAAAGAACCTAATAATCTATCAACTGGTAAGTGGATAAACGTACTGAGGTATGTCCATCAATAAAAATTATGTAGCAATTAAGTCAAACTACTTATAAGAGGCCACGTCATGAACCAACCTTAAAACCATTATATTGAGGGGCTGGTCAATTAAAGAATGTATGCATGCGAGGACCTGGGTTCAACCTCCAGCACTTCAAATAATTATTATGCTAAATGTTCATGAAAAAAGCTGAAGAGTCATAAGTAGATGGAAAATTTGTGGACTATAAAAATTAATTATAAAGATGGCATTCTTGCTGTGTGGTGGTGCTGCACACCTTTAATCCCAGCACCCAGGAGGTAGAGGCAGGCAGATCTCTGTGAGTTTGATCCAGCCTGGTCTACATAGTGAGTTCCAGGACAGCCAGGGCTACACAGAGAAATCCTCTCTCAAAAGAATGTCATTCTCCCCAGTGTTCTACCAACTCAGTTGGTCCCAACTTTTTACATTTTTCTGAATCAGACTGAACTTGAAAGTTTGGAATCAGAACAAATTTGTTCATGTTTCTTAAAATTAAAAGTAGAAGTGATGTGCCAGCAATGATGGCACATAGCTTTAGTCCCAGCAACCGGGAGGCACAGGCAGGCCAATCTTCAAGTTTGAGATTAGTCCCATCTACAGTTTGAGATCTAGGACAGCCAGGGATACTCAGAGAAACCCTGTCTCAACAAAAAGTAGAAGTGATGTAAAAGAAAGGACTATCAATTATTTAAGTTAGTATGTTATTGACTTGGCAAATAAACATAAAATTAATAGGCTAGTAAGAAATATTTGTATATATGTTTGAGAATTTAGAATCTTAAAAAAGTTTCATCAATAAAAAGAACTGTGCTATGTACTAATGCTGAGTGCTTTTACATGCATGTGAGCTTCCAAAGTATGTATTTGTCACTATATTCTATACAAATGAAGGTCCTAGCAATGTGTCTATAATGTCACAGGAATTTACTATATATGAATAAATTATAGTTTACTATATAAACTATAGTAGAATATATAATACCGGTGTGCATTATGTATAGTTATATTATAGTAAAGATGCTGTCTTGTCACTGAAAACCAAAAAGTTCCTTGGGAAATAAAATCATGATATAGGCTTTATTTTTTATTTTATCTATTTTTATTTTGTTTTCTGTGTATGAGTATTTTTGCCTGCATTTATGTCTGTTCACTACATGCATGCAGTGCCCACAAAGGTCAAAAGAAGGCACTGAATCATTTGCAACTGGAAGTACAGATGGTTGTTAGCCACCACGTGGGTGCTGAGAACCAAACCAAGTCCTCCACAAGAGCAATAAGGGCTCTTTACCACTGAGCCAACTCTCTAACCTCCAAAATACGGTTTTGCCAGAGAAAATCTTCAGTGGAATCATAAGGTTTGGAAAATAGCACATGATGAACAACCTTAAATATTGGTAAATTTAATAAATAATAATTATTATTTTCTGCTATCCTGTTTCTGATCCTTGCACTCCATTGATTTATTAGTCCCTACACTGTATCTCTTAATTTATTCAACACTAGTTGAATAGGAACAGTGATTCAAAAATGAAGGTTAGCCTATGCTGACAGTGATTTATTTGTCCAGCAAATATTTATTGAGCACCTATGATGCTGTACTTTATACTAAGGCTAGAGAGAGATTTGAGATTAGCACCGCAGTATGAGTCAACCAAGCAAAAGCTCTAATCTCTAATAAAGGAAGTTAATTCTTCCTCTGTGGAGGCCTCTGTGATTCTCCAGGTGCATTTAGTCAGCACTGAGAACAATCTGCAGGATCACGCCCTTTCTATGAGCTCGCCCCTCTCACATTTGACTCCTTCAGGTCATTTTTCTTTTCTAAAGTTCAAGATGTATGTAATTCAAAGAATTCTACTTTGGATGCTTTCTTTTGGTTAAGGATTTGTTGTTGATTGTTTTGCTTTTTGTTTGTCATTTGTTTTAGCATGACCTGTTGATACATTATTCTTCCAATAAATGTTTGTGAATGCCCACTCTATGCCAAGCACCTAACGTTCATAATAATTGAAGAATTATAAAACAAGATCATCAAGAGCACACAAGGCCCTAGACCTCCTGGTAACTCACATAGGCACTTAAATAAATTGTCTTTTAGAAAATCAGTAAAGCACTTGAACCTCATTCTGCTAATCACACAGTCTGTAATTTTAAATGTCTTTTATTTATACTTTCCACGTCATAGCTTGATGGTAACATTTGAAATCTCCCAGTATAAATGAACTTGTTGTTCCTTTTCTTCCTTTTTTCTTTTCATTTGCCAACAAAGTAGAATAAAAGGCTTAAAAATAGAAGCTTAAATAAAGCGAAATCAAGAAATTCTAAAAATAGCCTTCAAGACAAAAATTATTAGTAAAAAGAACACTATGAAAGGTACAAGCTATGAATTATGTGGTAAATTATATAGTATCAGAAAGTATAAAATAGGTTATAAAGTATGAATACAATTTCCGAAGTGAACAAAGCGTGAGCAGGAAAGAGGGTAGGAAGTGCTCTAGGCAAAGGGAAGTTTGTGGGGTGTAGAGTCCCCGCCTACATATCCTGAGTTGCTAAACGAAGTCACAGGATTTGTTGTCTTTCCTGCCACTCCAGAATCATTGTGAAATTCAAAGGAATACTATTGTGAGCTTGAAGAAAAAATATTGTTGGTCAGGATGTTTATACTGTTTGTTCATTTTGATTTGTTTTTTTTTTCCCTATAGGACGGTAGCTCAGAGAGGTTTCTAGATTCCATGCCAGATTGTGGCTGTAGTAATTGGACTAGAGTCCCCAGGAATACATCCCATGTGTTGTTCCAGCCACCCCTGGCTTTAAAGCAAGTTTCCAAAGTCTTGCACTACTTTAGAAGTTACGCTTGTTCATTGTCATGTGGGCCTTCATGGAACTAAGTACGTATTATACAGATATATTTGCAGGTCTGTTTTATCTCTACATTCTCAGTATCTATAAGACACTGTTATCTATAAGACACATTCAGTTTGTGGACAATCAGTTTAAACACTCATGAATAGGTACCTAATTTGTAGATTTCCTATTTATTTATTACTTTGGTTTTATCGAGACCAGGTTTCTCCAGGTAGCCCTGGCTGTCCTGGAGCTTGCATTGTAATCTGGCCTGGCCTCCAGCTCAAAAATCCACCTGCCTCTGCACCCTGAATACTGGGATTAAAGGTGTGCACCACCACCACCCCGCCCTACAGATCCTAGCTTTAAAAATGGTACCATGACATCCAGTTATCTTCACAAGCCAGAGTTCGTAAGTCTGTGGCCAAGGGTTGAAAGTAACCAAAGCATTTGCCTAACATACATGTAGTCCTGGATTTCATCCCTAGCACTGTGACAAAAAATTCCTATGACCAGACCTTGTGGAGTTATACACTGATAGTGCTTAGCTTCATCCCCAAACAACTTCATTTCCATTGATACATTGTTTAGTCCCTTCAGTCACCTCTCACCTGCTATGCATGTCATCATCACTCTCCTACTAACAATCCTTAAATGTCTTCCTACAATTTGGGGACAAAAAATGCGCATTTTATAATCTTATTTGGAGACTCTGATGTGGCCTACTTTATAATTTTACCCACTATCATTCAGCAATATCAAGCCAGGAGCATCTTGCCAAATCATGCCTCCATAATACACTTTGCTAGAAGATCTTCGAGCATCCTATTCCTAGCTTGTGTCTCGATAACTAGACAATTCTCTTGAAACTCTGCTCCTACTGAGTTTTTCAGGGTGACTTCTTTGACCACCGGGACTCTTCTGTGTTCTCATAGAACCCTGTGTAGTTTTTTTTTTTTGTAACACACTGTGCTGTCAGTGCTGTTCATGCCTATCTCCTCTACCACTCAGATTGAAATAATTATAATTATAAATTAGCCCAGAGTTGGGTTCCTGATAGGTTTGTGGGGTTTTTTGTGTGTGCATGTTTGTGTGTTTGTTTTATAGTTTGGGGAATTGATTCCAGAGCCTTGTGCATACCAGGCAAGCTCTTTATTACTGAGCTACATCTCCAGTCCTTGGTGGTGTTGTTTTGATAGTGTCCTGCTATGAAGCCTAGGCTATCCTGGAACTCTAGCCTTCTGCCTTTTTCTCCTAAATAATAGGATTGCGGGTGTGAGCTAAAATGCTTGCCACCATTTTAGGTTCTTAATAAGTGTATGTGACATAAATGGCAATTGTGATCAAATAATGATGTTTTTGTGTCTAGATACATGGTTCAGTGGCCTGGTGGCCGAATCCTGCATCGCCATGAACTTGACACCTTCCTTGCACAGGCTGTGTCTACCCAGCTTTATGAACCAGAACAGCTTCAAGAACTCAAGGTGATTTATTCCACCTTCATTTAATTTTTTCTGATGTTTAGGTTTTTCTTTCTTTCTTTTTTAAAACAGGGTCTCAGGGTGGGCCTAAACTCTCTATGTAAGTTAAAATGACCTTATGACCTTACACTCCTGATCCTTTTGCTTGTACTTCCCAAGTGCTGAGATTATAGGTGTGTGCCTTTTCTTTCAAAAGTTCAATCTTCAACTTTACATCTTTTCTTTTGGAGCTAGGAAAAGAATAATTCTATAGGTAAATGTTATATTTCCCTTAGCCAAATAGATACTTCTATTAATGAAACCAGGAGATGCTGCTATATTACCCCACCTATAATGATGACACAGAAAAGATAGAGATTTTGCAGGGTTTGGAAACCATGGTAAGGTTTCTGTCACTTAGAAGGTATGTTGCAGGGACTTACCTTAATGTCATTGAGTAAATGTCTACTTCCTACTACTTAATTTGTACTTATTTGTTTATTTAGTGTGTGAGTATAGGCATGCATATACTACAGTATACACGTAGGGGTCACATGACAGCTCTCAGTACTCAGTCCTCTCCTGCCACCTTGAAAGATCCAGGGATCAAATTCATGTGATCAGTCTTGTGTTCAAGTTCCTCTACCTACTGAACCATCTCATTACTGGCGCCTCCCCAGTACCAAGAACTGAAAGCAATAGAAGATAGTAGGTTGACCCAATATAGGTTGCCTTGTACTTCAGTCTTAGCATTAGTACCTCCTGTCTAGGTTACTTAAGTTTCTGACCTTCTCTTTTTTTTTTTTTTAACTCATGGAACTGTAAGGATAATGTGTAAAAGAATGTATGTAAAACAGAACAGTCTCTTGTATATTTGTATATTTTAAATATTCCATGCTCCAGTGCTGGAGAGATGGCTCAGACATTAGGAGCACTGGCTGCTCTTCTAGAGGTCCTGAATTTAATTCCCTGCAACCACATAGTGGCTCACCACATCTCTAGTGGGATCTGCTGCCCTCTTCTGGCATAAAGTAGTACATGCAGATAGAGCATAAAATAAATTTATAAAGCCTGGTTTCTTGGAAGAAGTGGTAAATTGGATTGGTATTTTTTAAAGTAATAAAATAACATAATAATTTAAGAAAATAAATCTATAAATAGATAAACTATACAACATAAATACTAGTTATTAATGCAAGACACCATTCCGCTGGTTTTAGTAGCTATGTTTCTTTGAGGCTGTATTTATTACTTTTCTCACTGGTATGACAGTCAACTTATTGAGGGAAACATTTGTTTTAGCTCAGTTTGAGGATACAGTTTGTTATGGCCATGAAGTCAGGGTAGCAGGAGCCTAAAGAGTTGGTCACATTGTATGCACACTGAGAGATGATTTGATGTTCAACTTGTTTTCTCCCTTTTAATCACTCCAGTACCCCAGGCTTAGGATAAAGTTGATCAAATCCAATAAGACTTATGAAATTAAACCAGATATGGTAGCATGCACCTATTATAGTTCCAGCTTCTCCTCTAGCTGAGTAGGAAGGGGAGTATCCTAGTTTACAAAATATATGCATTGTGATAAGTGATCGATGCCAACTTGGGGCAGGAAAGGATTTATTTCAGCTTATACTTATAATATATCACTGAGGGAAGCCAGGGTGGAACTCAAGGCAGGAACCTGGAGGCAGCTGCTGAAGCAGAGGCTAGGGAATGCTACTTACTGGCTTGCGTTCATGGCTTGCTTATACATCAATGAAATGCTCTAAGACTCCCCTACAGGCCAATCTGATGAAGACAATTTCTTAATTGAAGTTCCTTCTTCTCAGATTGTAGAAGGAGCAGCGGGCTGTGTTCCTGCTGCCCAGCTCCCAGCCGCCTGGCTAGCTTTACCCAAAATAATTACACAGAAGCTGTATTCCTTTAAACACTGCTTGGCCCATTAGCTCTAGCCTCTTACTGGCTAATTCTCACATCTTGATTAACCCATTTCTATTAATGTGTATAGCACCACGAGGTGGTGACTTACCAGGAAGATTCTAGCCTACATCCATCTTGGGTCAGAGCTTCATTGCGTCTGACCCACTTCCCTTCTTCCCAGAATTCTGTTCTGTCTATTCCTCCCACCTAAGGGCTGGTCTATCAAATGGGCCAAGGCAGTTTCTTTATTAACCAATGAAATTAACTCCTCCATCATCAGATGACTCTAGTGTGTATCAAGCTGACAAAACAAAACAAAAACCTAAGCTGGGTGATGGTGGCGCACGCCTTTAATCCCAGAGTTTAGGGAGGCAAAGGCAGGCAGATCTCTGTGAGTTTGAGGCCAGCCTGGTCTACAGAGTGAGTTCCAGGACAGGCTTCAAAGCTACAGAGAAACCCTGTCTCAGGGAAGAAAAAAAAAAACCTAACCAGCACAGAGCACAGATAGTTTAGCAGGAAGAAGAGGGAGACACCTTCTGAATGGGGAAAGACAACCTAAGAAGGGTAGTACATGCTTTAAAGCAGGGCCAGGCAGTGGTGGCATATGCCTTTAATTCCAGTATTTGGGAGGCAGAGCAGGCAGACTTCTGAGTCTGAAGCCAGCCTGGCCTATAAAGCAGATGCCAGAATAGCCAGGATGGTTACACAGAGAAACCCTGTCTCAAAAAAACACACATTGAAAAAAGCTGAGGCACGAAGGTAAAGAGTTTGAGACCAGCCGGGAGTATGTGGTGATTTCAAACCAAACAATTAAATAGACTTGAAGTCAGGCTGCAGCTCAGTGGTAGAGTACCTGGCTAATAAGCAAAAGGCTTTGGGTTCAATCACAAACACCAGAAAAAAGGAGAGAAAGACTTGCAAAATCATAATTTAAGTTAGGTCAGCTGAGGAAAGATGCAACAACCTAAGACAATGAATGATTCTTTTAATAGCAAATATATTTCTGGGTCCTAGCGCAGCTCTTCATGCCAAATCACACCCAGAAAGGGACTTGAAAACACATCAACTTTTCTATCAAGTCCTCTGACATGCCAGCCTTAAATAGCCACTACAATTAGTTTTAACTTACTTATTTTTATGTGTATTGATGTTTTGCCTGTATGAATATTTGTGCACTATGTGCATGTGTAGTGCTAACAGAAGTCAGAAGAGATCATTGAGTTCCTTAGAACCAGAGTTACAAATGATTGTGAGCTACCTTGTAGGTGCTGAAAATTGAATCTGGGTCCTCTATAAAACAACAGGTGCCCTTAGCTATGGAGACATCTCTCCAGCTCCATACGATGATCAATTTTTAATGTTATCTTTCTTTGATTTTGCAGGATGGGGGTGTGTGGATGATCAAATCTTGCAGTCTTTTTGTGTGCTTGTCCTAACCATTTAGAATATTGTTTATAAATTGTCAGCTTTTTTTTCATACAAAAAGCAAGTCAAGGGGGCTGGAGAGATGGCTCAGTGGTTAAGAGCATTGCCTGCTCTTCCAAAGGTCCTGAGTTCAATTCCCAGCAACCACATGGTGGCTCACAACCATCTGAAATGCGATCTGATGCCCTCTTCTGGCCTGCAGGCAGATACACAGACAGAATATTGTACACATAATAAATAAAAAAAATTTAAAAAAAAAAGCAAGTCAACTATACATCAAAAATATTTTTCAAAATTATACCCATTGACTGGGTATAATGGCACAATCCTATAATGAAGGCATAAGTCACAAAACAGTCCCACACCATGGGTGCCCATCTGTGGTAGGGAGCGGGGCCCCTTGTTTGTACTGCCCAGCTAGCTTATACCCGAAATAATCACACAGAAACTGTATTAATTGAAACACTGCTTGGTCATTAAGCTCTAGCCTCTTATTGGCTAACTCTCACATCTTGATTTAACCCATTTCTAATAATCTGTATATCACCACGAGGTCGTGGCTTACTCGGAAAGATGCAGCATGTCTGACCTGGTGTCTCCATGGCTGCTCTCTCTCTCTTTATGCTTTCTTCCTTCCAGAAGTCAGTTCTGTCTCCCCACCTACCTAAGTTTTGCCCTATCAGGCCAAGCAGTTTCTTTATTGATTAACCAATGAAAGCAACACATAAACAGAAGGCCCTCCTACACCACTATAATCCCAGTATTTAGACAGCAGAGGCTAGAGGGTCACCTATGAGTTCAAGGTCAGGTTGATCTCTACATAGAATATACATACACACCGTTAATCCAAGCACTTGGAAGGCAGAGGCAGGCAGATCTCTAAGTTTGAGGCTAGCCTAGTCTACAGAGTTCCAGGATAGATGGACTGTTACACAGAGAAACCCTATCTCCAAAAAGAAACAATGGGCCTGGAGAAATGACTCTAAGCACTTATTTCTCTTTCAGAGAATCCAGGTTTGGCTCCTAACACTTACAACTCACAACCATCTATAATTTCATTTCTAGGGAATCCATGGACTTTTTCTAGCTTCCAAGGGTACTTCAAACAAGTGGCACACATGTGTACATACAGGCAAAACACTCATATGCATAAAATAAAAAAATAAGCCAAGAAGTGGGGGCACATCTTTAATCCCAGCACCCAGGGAGGCAGAGGCAGGCTGATCTCTGTGAGTTCAAGGACAGCCTGGTCTACAAGAGTTAGTTCCAGGACAGACTCCAAAGCTACAGAGAAACCCTGTCTCGAAAAACCAAAAAAATAAAAAATAAATTTTTAAATCTCCAAATGATTCCTCTTAACTTTACATCTTGTCATTACTCACTAAACAATACAATATGAAATCTGTTCATAATAAAGTAATCTAGAGCTAATTTAGCATATAGAAAGATTGTGTAGGCTATATACAAACATACCATTTTCCATAAGGGACTTGGGCATCCATAGATTGAATTATCTTCAAGGAGTCCTGAAACTAATCTCCCAACAATACTGAGAGACAAGTGTATTTTACTTTCTTTTTTAACTTATCAAAGTGCATATTTCCTTTGTGTTAAAAATCTAGTGATTTTTTTATCATATGGATGTATCATTTAATTATTATAATGTTAACTGTTTAGATTATTTCCAGTTTTCCTTAATATATGTGCTGTGATAATGGCATGTTTATGCATAGAGCTTTATTGACATTGTGCACTTCCTTAGAATATAGTCTGTAATCCTGTACAGCAGTTTTAGTGTGCCTATATTTTGACTGCAACCTGTCACATGAGACAAGGTATCGAATCTTCCAATTTTGATATCATGTCAGCACTCAAAATTGCTTCAGATTTTGGAACATTTTGCTTCTGAAATGGAACTTGCTATGTTACCTAGGCTGAACTCCAACTCCTAGGTTCAGATGATCCTATTCCCTCAGCATTTTAATTCGCTGGGACTATAGCTGAGCTCTACCCTGTGGCAGAAGAGGTTCTTGTTTGGTTGGTTGGTTGGTTGGCTGGTTGGTTGGTTTAAAATAAGATCTGTGGCCTTGGCCCAGGCTGACCTTGAACTTGCAGCAGCCCTCCTGCCCCAGCCTCCTGAGTCTATCTATGCACCATCACCTTGCTAGAACTGATTCTTAAATGTAGACTCTCTGCGTTGGCAAATGTGAACATCTTCAGAGTTCTTGATATATATTACTTAGTTGCAATGTATGTTCCTCAACATTTATATGATTTCCCATTTATTTCATTGCACTATCATCAGCAATGAATATTCTTTTGGTTTTAACTTTTTGAAATTTTCAACTTTGATGGGCAACATAATTAGTATCCTCTAAACCAGAGGTTCTCAACCTGTGGGTTGTGACCCCTTTGGGGACACATATCAGATGCCCTGCATATAAGATATTTACATTTCAATTCATAATAGTAATAAAATTACAGTTATGAAGTATCAGTGAAATAATTTTATAGTTGGAGGTCACCACCACATGGGGAACTTTAAAGGGTCACAGCACTAGGAAGGTTGAGAATCACTGTTCAAATTATTTCAAGGAAGGTTGGACATAAAAGCTACTTATGCACTGAAATGACTCCTGAAAGGAAACTGAGGCAGGAGGAGTACTGTGACTGTGAGCCAGCCTGAGCTCCAGAGTAAGATTTTTTTACTTTTTTATATTTATTTTATTTAAAATAGATAAACAATTAAATAAATTATTATTAAACAATTAATTTTTTTGGTTTTTCGAGACAGGGTTTCTCTGTGGCTTTGAAGCCTGTCCTGGAACTGACTCTTGTAGACCAGGCTGGCCTCGAACTCACAGAGATCCGCCTGCCTCTGCCTCCCGAGTGCTGGGATTAAAGGTGTGCATCACCACTGCCCGGCCAACGATAACTATATTACATTTATTTTTATTTATTTGGGAGTACAGTGCAGAGGGGTAGATGTGTGCCATGAAGTGTGTGTGGAGATCAGAGAACTGCTTGAACAAGTTAGTTCTCTCCTTCTACCATGTGGGTCCTGGGGATCAAACTCAGTCTTGGCAGCAAGTATGTTTAACCACTGAATCATCCTGGCAGTCCAACATGTTCTAATTTACCTGGAAGAGTTAATATGACATTATAATAAATAAACAATAACAACAATAAAAATGTTACTAATGATAATCTAGGTTAAGTATCCCTTGTCTGAAATGCACAGAAATGATCAGGCATATTTCAAATTTGAAATTTTTGTAGACTTTTTAATGTTTGTATATACACAATAAGATATCTTAGGATAGGACCCAAATCTTAACTATTACATTATTTATGTTTCATATATACCTTATTGAGGGGGTTCCCTGTGTAACAGTCCTAGTTGTCCTGGAACTAGCTCTTGTAGACCAGGCTGGCCTCGAACTCACAGGGATTCACCTGCCTCTGCCTCCCGAGTGCTGGGATCAAAGGCACGCCGCCACCACCAGGCCCTCATATATACCTTATAAACATAGCCTGAAGATAATCTTCTTTTCAAAAAGATTTATTTATTTATTTATACAGTGTTCTTCCTGCATGGATGCCTACAGGCCAGAAGAGGGCACCATATCTCACTTTAGAGCCACTATGTGGTTGCTGGAAATTGAGCTCCGGACCTCTGAGCTATCCCTCCAGCCCTGAAGATAAGCTTATACAATATTTTAGGGTGTCTGCATTTTAATTTCAACCAACTATATGAGGCCATAGATTTTAGATTCTTTTAGACAAAGTTTTTCATTTCTTTTTTCCCCTTCTATTTCTTAATTCTTTTCTCTGTGATGGTTTCAGATTGAGAAACTGGATGCTCGAGGGATCCAGCTTGCTGCCCTGTTCATGAGTGGGGTCGACACAGCTCTGTTTGCTAATGACGCATGTGGCCAGCCAGTCCCTTGGGAGCACTGCTGCCCCTGGATTTACTTTGATGGCAAGCTGTTCCAGAGCAAGCTCATTAAAGCGGGCCGAGAGCGAGTGTCCCTGATTGAACTCTGCGATGGCCAGGTAGAGTGGACACCCCTGATCTGTCATCAGGATGAATCATAAGCATGCAGGGGGCAAGGAGCATGCAGGGAGGTCCCGAAAGCCTATAACCTAATACATGTCTATTGCAAAATCATGCATTGGAAAGTTGTTTTTATCCCCAATCTTAAAGTTTTCATGACTTTTTTTTCTTACTGAGAGTATTTCTTCCCCACATAATTTCCACAAATACTATATGCCCTTCCTGGAACTATTTGAAATTTCATTTTCCCTTATTTAAAAATGCTGCAAGTCACTTTTCTAAGTGATTTTTTTGGTGGGGGAGGGATTATAAATAGAAGAGAGCAGTAAATAGATGATAGAGTTGGTTTTACAATATAACCTTGGGAAAGGTAGAAAAAAGCAAGGGAAAGGAAACCTTACTCAGTATTTTATCAGCTTAGTGGGGAGTAAGCTGAGGGACTAGAGCAGCAGAGTCAGCAAAGTACTCCTCTCCTGCCCCTGTCCTTTGTAAATAACATTTGGTCGGAACATGGCCACATTCATTCCTTTACATTTCTGTGACTTCTGTCGTGCTAGAATGGCGCAGAAGAGTAGTTGTGGCAGACACACCCCACAAAGTCTAAAGTATTGAGTTGCCTACCTTTTCCAGAATTTTACCAACCTCTGGGACTAGGTATATGTGCATACTTATACTTGTTTTTTTTTTCTCTTTGGGGGCCTGACACCCAGCTCCCAAATAAATACACGGAGACTTATTCTGACCTATGAATGCCTGGCCTTAGCTTGGCTTGTTTCTAGCTAGCTTTTCTAAGTTATATTATCCCATTTTTCTTTAACTAAATTTTGGCTCTGGGCTTTTTGCCTTTCTTTATTCATTGTATCTTTCTTTCCTTCTTACTCTGTGGCTGGCTGCAGTGCTAGGTGGCCGGTCCCTGGTACCCTCCTCTCTTTCTTTTCTCGCTCCTCACTAACCCTTTTTTCAAGCCTAGATTTCTCCTATTTGTTCTGTCTGGCAGCCCCACCTATTTCTCTCTCCTGCCTAGCTGTGGATCAAACATGTGTTTTAGATAGGCAAAGTAACACAGCTTCACAGATTCAAACAAATGTAACATAAAAGAACATAACACATATTTGCAGCATTAAACAAATATTCCACAGCATAAATGAATGTAACACACCTTAAAATAACAGTCTACAACACATACCCTCATCAGAGCAAAGGTTGAATACGGGAGAGGTTAAAAGGCCCTCTATGTGTCTGTTTTTTTCTTTTCTCTGTTACCTGATTTTGTTACCTCCCCCTTATAAAAGAATAACCTAGGCAATCATTGGCCATGCAATCAACCATTTCCTGATGTCCTTCTTGTTCTGTTTGTTATCATCCTCATAGATAATGTTCCTCACATTATCTATGGCCAGAACTAATCTTCTGCTACTGTAGAATCTTGTGAAGAGAGGGAACTTTGATACCAAATGAGTCTCCTGAGGCTGGAGTCTAGAAGCACAATGGGAAAAACGTTATGAGAATGTGCCTAGAGTGCTCAGTACTGTGCATGAAATATGGGGCGAGTTCAGAAAACTAACAATTCTCTTCTGCATTTGAAGGCTGACCTGGCAAGCAAGGTGGAAAAGATGAGGCAGAGTATCCTTGAAGGCGTCAACATGAACCATCCACCGCCTTCTGCTCTACTTCCGTCACCTACATTTGTGCCTCCCATGATGCCCCCCCTCTATCCTGTTTCTCTTTATTCCAGAGCTATGGGCTCATTTCCACCTCCCCCTCAAGCAAGGAGTCGGGGCTTTGCAGGTCAGTACTTAAGAATGAGGTGTCATCTGATTTATTTCACAATAAACCATTTAGTTCCTTGCCAGCTACAGCCTCAACAGTACAATATATGTCTTACCTTGTTTGAATTCCATCTGTGGTATAATAGTTTGAAATGTAACTCTCCATGTATCCTGGGGAAGAAAGTCCATTGAAATCCAAGACCATTCTCAATAGAGGTGGTTGGTTCTCAGGGATTTGATTCGCACCATCCAAACTCATGCGGTCTGGACTGATACAAAACTGATGAGTCACTTACCATTTCATTATTTTGATCGCTATAACTCATATCAACTGGATCTTCACGGTTGCTGTTAGTTCATCCACTCCTTATGGGCAGTTGCAGGAAGGTGTTTGTGGGGAAAGAATTGTAAGTATGTGTCAGTCCTGGAAGACGACAGTAGCTTGAGGTAGCTGTAATCACTCTAGGGGTAGACCTGATACATTGCCTACTCTAGGTCCAAAAGCATAGAAAGTAACTTCATAATCCACACACCGCAAAGAATTACATTTTAATAGAGAAAACAAGCACATACATGTATGTATAAATTATGGTGCCTGCCTAATAAGGAATAGATGAGCACGCTTCAGGCAGCTGAAATCTTGGTATATTAAACAACCTGCTTCTGGTGAAACACAGTTTTCTGTAGGTGTGGTGTCTGGGATCAAACCCAGGACTTTAAACATTCTGGGCAGGCATTTTACCTCTATATGCATCCCCAGCTCTGAAGCAGGATCTCTCAGTAGAGGTATTTTTTTTTAATATTTATTTATTTATTATGTATACAATATTCTGTCTGTGTGTATGCCTGCATGCCAGAAGAGGGCACTAGACCCCATTACAAATGGTTGTGAGCCACCATGTGGTTGCTGGGAATTGAACTCAGGACCTTTGGAAGAACAGGCAATGCTCTTAACCTCTGAGCCATCTCTCCAGCCCTCAGTAGAGGTATTTAAAATGAAATAGCAAGACTCTATCATCAGGTCAGTGTATCTTTGCGGTTGAACATGTGTATTGTGTGTTGCACCTCTATTTAAAACAATAAAGCTGGAAGTTGAACTTAGTCTTTTAGGGTCACAAAACTCAGCAGTTATATTTAGCTCAAGAGTGGGCTTACATGAACAGTATGGAAGTCAGGCCCTTATGTAGTCAAGTCTTACAGACCAAGAAGCCAACCATTTATCCCTTTAAGCTGACTTAACTGATCTCTGATTTTTGTTCTGTGTGTTGGCTGTGTTGTGTTATTCTAAAAGATGCCTTCATTAAGCCAAGGTCTTGGGAAATTCTTACCATCACCTAAACTACTGATGGATCACAGAAGCCTCCTAATTGTTTCCTGCCTTTCTGAAAGGACATGATAAGATCACTAAGTGCAGCTGGGTGGTGGTGGTTGCACGCCTTTAATCCCAGCACTTGGGAGGCAGAGGCAGGTGAATCTCTTGAGTTTGAGGTCATTCTGGTCTATGGAGCAAGTTCCAGGACAGCTAGGGCTACGTAGAGAAACCCTGTCTCAAAACAAACACAAACCAACAATGTAATAAACCCTTAGAATCTTTCTTTTTTCTTCTTCTTTTTTTTTTTTTTCAAGACAGGGTTTCTCTGTAGCTTTGGAGCCTGTCCTGGAACTAGCTCTTGTAGACCAGGCTGGCCTCGAACTCACAGAGATCTACCTGCCTCTGCCTCTGCCTCTGCCTCTGCCTCTGCCTCTGACTGCTGGAATTAAAGGTGTGCGCCACCACCACCCGGCCAGAATCTCACTTTCATACAAAGGTTGTGATGGCTTTTGGGGTGGTTTTTTTTGTGTGTTTGTTTGTTTTGCTTTTTTTGAGACAGGGTTTCTCTGTGTAACAGTTCTCGTTATCCAAACTGAATTCACTTTGTAGGCCAGGCTAGCTTTGAACTCATAGAGATCCACCTGCCTCTGCCTCCAGAGTGCTGGGATTAAAGGCCTGCACTACCAGCAGCCAGCATATCATAGTTAGTTTTTTTTATGATGGTTAGTTTTAAATGTCAACCTAATACAACCTAGAATCAACTGAGAAGAGAGTCTTAATGTGGAACTGTCTAGATTACGTTGACTTATGGGTATGTCTGTGGATAATTGTCTTGGTTACCTTAATTGGCATGGGGAGGATCCAGCCGGAAACTGGGCAGCACCATTCCCTGGTTTGGGGCCCTGGACTGCATAAGAGTCACTCCCTAAGTGCTAACATGCATGCGTGCATTCTCTCTGCTCTTGACTTCAGATTGATGTGACTAGCTGCTTGAAGTTCTTGCCATTTTGATTTCTCTGCTATGATGGAACTATGAGCAAAAATGTACTCTTTCCCCCCACCGTGGCCTTTTGTCAGGCTATTTTATCAGCAACGGAAATGAAACTAGAACAAGGGGCTAAATGTATACAGTGTTCTTAACCTGTGCTTTCTTTCCATGTGCTTACCAGTAGGCCATAGCCTCATGGAGATACACATATTAATAGAAATGGGTTCATTTAAGATGTAAGAGCTAGCTAGGAATATGCCTAGGCTATTGGCTGAACAGCGTTGTAACTAGTATAGTTTGTGTGTAATTATTTGGGTCTGGGTGGCTGGGAAACAAACAAGCAGTCCCCTTTTACATCTTGTCTTGAACTGTTCCTGGTTTTTACAACTGTTATGGTTAGTTTTTTGTTGCTTTCCTTGTGGCTGTGGCCAAATACCTAACAGGACAGAGAGATTTTAAGTCATGCTTTAAAGAAATACTGTATATCACGGCAAGGGAGGCATGTGGACTGGTGCTTATCAGTGGAATGCTGTGTTTTCTTTATGTTTGTTGATCTTTGTGAATCGGGAAGCAGAGAACTCAAGCCAGAAATGGACCCAGTTAAAACCCTCAAAGCCTACCCCCCATTACCCAACTAAGCTCAACCTCCTAAAGGCCCCACAACCTCCCAAAAAGCACTGCCAGCTGTCAAAGGAGAAGGACACTGGAACCTTACGAGTAGGCCAGAGCCTCGTGGTGATACACATATTAATAGACCAATTGTTGAAACATAGGAACCTGTGAGGCATATTTCATATTCAAACTGCCTTACTGCTCTAACCAGACTGGCATTAATTGCTGTAATCTTCCTGCCTCTGTCTCCTGAGTGTGAAATATATATATATTTCATTTTTCTTTTTCTTTTTTTTATTATTTATTTTTTATTGAAAAAAAATTCCACCTCCTCCCCGCCTCCCATTT